CGATACATCAACCAGACCATAATGGAAGCTGTTATTCTAAAAATATTTGGAGACATACTCAGGAGGAGATCGGGGCACTTGTGGTCCTATCCTTTGTGCGATAAAGATGATCTCTAAAGTGAACATTGAACAATGTGCACAGTGAGTGCCAGGTTATTTTCTGGAACTCCCTACGTGCAGTTGTAGTGACAGGTTAGTGTGTGGAACTCCCTACGTGCACTTGTAGTGACAAGTTAGTGTGTGGAACTCCCTACGTGCAGTTGTAGTGACAAGTTAGTTTCTGGAACTCAGTTGTAGTGACAAGTTAGTTTGTGGCACTTCTACGTGCAGTTGTAGTGCCAAGTTAGTTTGTAACTTTCTTTACGTGCATATAAAGTGCCAAGTTAGTTTGTGAAATCCTTAGATTTAACTGCAAGAAAAAAACAGCATCATTTCCCCCACACCCCCTCCACCAGCAAGACGTGCAATCAGTAAACGTTTGAGGCAGCTGCTACAACGTCAACACCGATAGCCCAGTTCTTTAAAAGCAATTCATTATCGAAATAAAAAGCGGCAGTTTGCACATGCTTGTACAGATAGAATTACAAAGGTCAGATTTTTAAGAGCATGCATCTTTCCCATTGCAACATACGCCTGTGAGACCTGGACACTTACTAAACAAGCGGAACAGCGCATAAATGCATTTGAATATAAATGTTACAGACAGGTTCTATGAATATCTTGAGTGAAGAAAAGAACAAATGCATCCATACTTCAAGAGCTGAATATTGAAGAGGGTTGGCTAGTAAAGACAATAAAACAAAGAAAATTGAAATATTTTGGTCACTTGAAACGTCATGGAAGTCTAGAGAGAACAATAATGGAGGGGTATATGCCTGGGAAGAGAGGAAGAGGAAGGCCAAGGAGAAGATGGGTGCAGGATGTGGCAGATAATCTCCAGATGGGTGTATCAGACGCAGGACATCTTGCTCAGGATAGGAAGGTTTTCCGGAGGGTTGTTATGGCAGCGAGGTTCCGCGAGGGACATGCTACTGAATGAATGAATGAGTTTGCACATGCAATACTGCATAATATATACCGACCAGCTGGTATTGTATGACTATGAAGGTAATAACACAAAACGATAGCGGACACCAAGGAAAATGCCCTCGCCATTAGGGCTCTGAGTGCTGCACCAAACACCTAGCCCCTTAACTGGTGAACGAAGCCACGTACTACCAGTGACGACGTAAATAAGGGGTGACTTCAGTCGAGCTGATTGCAAGAAATGCTAATATAACACAAACATTGACTTGAAAGCTCAACGGAAGGAATGAAAAAGACCGACTGTTTTGACCAAAGTCTTTATCAAGGGAATGCTAAATACAGCACAAACTATGACTGGAAAAACTGAACGGACAAGAAAAAAGAGGGAGCTAATAAAAATAAAAAGGTCAAGAGGAAACCAAGAAGTAAGTTATGGGGAAAAATATGAATATGAAGGGCTATAATAGGAAACAAATAAAGTAAAAAGGCATGCATAAAATGAGGTTGAGAAATATGAATAAGTTAAAAAAAATGAACCAGTAAATAAATAAAATTAAATGAGATAATGCTGTGTTAAATAATAATCCCTATAGGACTAAGAACGCCAGAACTATGGATGACACTATATTTTAATGAGTAGCGGCTGGTTTGATCACCGGACCAAAATTTAACAACTATGTCTCAGTCACTGCTTCAAAATCTTTTTTGGGAAATCCCCACTGTCACTTGATACTAAAGAGCACCATAGTGAACACTGCAAAAGAGCGGAATAGGAGACCAGTTTAATGAAGTGGATAAAGAAACGTCCTAAAAACAGACACTCACATATAGGTACTGATAATTTCTTTAGGAATGTAGGGTTGTGGGACATTCGAACCTAGAAAGTACATACATCGATGTCTCTAGTCGTTTCTGTGAATTTTTGTTTGTTTGTTGGGTTTTAATTAGGCCACGTAAAAGACTATTTGTCTCCTGCCATCGCCAACATCATTATTCGCCATCCGACTCCATCACCAGCTTATTTATCATCATATACATGTTCTTGCTCCACCCATGTCCTGTGCTGATGCCACTTTTTCTGTTTATTTGGATGATGCACTGTGACGTACCTTAAATTTTCCTAGTCCTATAACACCGAGTGCTGTTGGATCCCTAGTTTCTGTTGACAGTCTGATCAGTCCATACTGCCTCTCTCTGTCACATCAATAGACTCATTGTGTGTATGTTTGAAGTCTGTCCCTTCAGCCAATTTGTGTATCCACATTTGCCTTGATCGATCTTTTCTTCTTCAGTTCTGCGGAGCCTTGTAGTATCCCTTTTTTTTTAATAGCTAAGAAAGAAAGGGTAAACTGAAGAGGCTCCGCCATGGTTGAGACGAAACATATTGACTGATATATATTTCTTCATACACTTCTTCGTACACCTCATAGCCATTCTATAGACCAACAAGCAGCGGGTATAATAGACGGCGAGCCATCAGACTGGTTTGACATCAAGCAAGGAGTCCGTCAGGGCTGTCCCCCTATTTGTTTAACCTGTAAACTGAAAATATAATGAGAAATGGCAGAAATGATTTAACCAGAGAACAATATGATGCCCTAAATATCAGTGGTCATGGAATATCAGAGATCCGATATGCCGATTATAAGTATTGCTGTCCACATCACAGACTGGTATAGAAAACCTAATAACCTCAGCCCAGAGAAATAGTGAAAATCACAACATATATCTCTCAAAGTAAAAACAAAGATAATGTTTACAGATAAAACTACTATGGGAAAAGAAATATATGTTAATGAGGAAGTATAGAAATATTGGAGGTTGTGGAAAATTTTGAACATCTTAGGTCTGTGATTGCCTACAACGGTGACACAATGAAAGACATTTAACGACAAGATAATCAATAGCTCTTCAATGACTAAACAAACTAAATTCCTTATTGTGCGGGACAGACAGAACTACACAAATTATTTTTCTAAGAGTGTGCATCTTTTCATTTGCAACATACGCCTGTGAGACATGGTCACTTACTAAACAATCTGAACAGTGCATGGGTGTCTTTGAATACAAACTTTAAAAGCGGGTTCGAAGAATATCATGGGTAAAGAAAAGAAAAAAAAATTGCATCCATTATTCAAGAACTGAATATTAAAGAAGGTTAGTTAAAGGCTATAAAACACATACATTTGACGTATTTTGGTCACTTGAAACGTCACGAAAGTTTACAGAGAATAATATAAGAGAGCTGTATGCCTGGGAAAAGAGAAAGAGTAAGGCCAAGGGGAAAATGGATGCAGGATGTGGCAGATGATTTCCAGATGGGAGTGTCAGACGCGGGACATCTTGCTTGTAATCAATACGTTTTCCGGAGGGTTGTAATGGGAGCACGGTTCTGCAGGGGACATGCTACTGGCTAACAAATATTTCTTCAAAATCGACAAGAAAGGATGTTGGACTGTTTGACATCATGGCATGGAGGGTCGTTTGTATCAAAGCTTACTGAAAGTGCACGAGACAGAAGGTTGTGGATATGACATGAGTACCAACGCAACACGGCATGGACTTTAAGAAGAAGCATGTTATCAGCAACAACAATACCAGCACTAGATGCAATTATTGGAGTCTTCTGCTTTTATGCTTATCCCAAAATTGCATATGTTTTCGTAATCTATTATGTCTTCTATATATACCTTTCTTTGTATGGGTTGAACAGATGCGAGGAGGCTATCTATTCCGGTTTCGTCTCTTTCATTGTTTGGCGTCAGAGTCAAACATCAGAGTCAAACATCAGAGTCAGATATCAAAGTCAGACATCTGAGTCATATGAGTGTCATACATTAGAGTCATACATCAGCATCAGACATCAGAGTCAGATATCAGAGTTATACATCAGAGTCGAACATCAGAGTCAAACATCAGAGTCAGACATCAGAGTCAGATATCAGAGTCAGACAGCAAGGTCATACATCAGAGTCAGACATAAGAATCAGAGTCAGACATCAGAGACATCAGCGTCAGATATCAGAGTCAGATATCAGAGTCAGGCATCAGATTCAAGCATCAGAGTCAGGCATCAGAGTCAGACATCAGAGTCAGACATCTGAGTAAGGCATCAGAGTCAGACATCAGAGTCAGATATCAAAGTCAGGCATCAGATTCAAGCATCAGAGTCGGGCATTAGAGTCATGCATTAGAGTCAGAGTCAGATATCACAGTCGGGCATCAGAGTCGGGCCTCAGAGTCAGGCATCAGAGTCAGATATCAGAGTCAGACATCTGAGTCAGGCATCAGATTCAAGCATCAGAGTCAGACATCAGAGTCAGATATCAGAGTCAGACATTAGAGTCAGACATCAGAGTCGTGTCTCAGAGTCAGGCATCAGAGTCAGATATCAGAGTCAGATATCAGAGTCAGACATTAGAGTCAGACATCAGAGTCGTGTCTCAGAGTCAGGCATCAGGTCCAGGCGCTTGTATGAGTAATAATAACACATTGATGAAGTGTTGGGGTCTTCAGTCCTATTGTAATTGTATTCAGAGCCCGGAACATTAGAATGGGGTGGCTTAGAGGGCTACGCGTTGTTTAAATGTGGAATAATAATAATAGTAATTATAGTAATGCTAACTAGTATTATTTTGATTTTGCATTATAGGTGTGTGCTGAATGATAATGGAATATATTTAAAATTAAATGTATGAACGCAAGCTTAATACATTAACGCTTAAATGAACTCCAATACACAGGCGTATGATGAAAATGGAAAGATGCACACTCCAAGAAAAATAATTTGTGGAACATAGTGGAACAAAAATAAAACAAAAGATGGGAGAGGGGGGGGGGGGGGGGGGGGGGGAGAAGGCTGAAGGAACGTGAACCACTAGATTCCGACTCCCATACTAAGAATGTATCAAGCAGTCTAGCGCCAGTGGTCTGGACTGCGAATTAGTGTTTTGTTCTTCTATTATATTGTTATAATGGTAACTGAAGGCGCAGTGATATATCTTATTTGTCTGGCGGTGTGATTATTTCAGCAATTCATATTACAGACCACAGAGACAGCAAGTCTGAGGAACACACCATGAACATACCGGACGCCACAGTTGCCATACTTGAAACTACGGTCGTTTTCATGCTTTGGACGGCTTTACTTCACGCGGGTAAATATATATATATATATATATATATATATATATATATATATATATATATATATATATATATATATATATATATATATATATATATATATATATAGATAGATAGACACACACACAAAGTTTTAACGCTCTAGCTTTGAGTCTATGCTGCAATTACTTAAAAAAAAAGTAAAGGACCCTTTCCACGCCTTAGGCGTATAGGGCATATAGGGCTAGACCTATATTTTTATAGACCAACGGCACAAGATGGGTGATGTGGTCAGCATCACGCCGGTCGCCTCTACTTCCCGGGATTGCACCCGGTACCCACTCAAGGCTGGGTCGACCTGGGAGCCAAGGTCATTTTTGAAGAAAAGTCCGTCTTCGCCAGGGAGCGAACCCACGACCTTCCGATCCGCGGCGCGCGTCTAGCCGCTCTGCCACGGCGACTCCCTGCACTTACTTAGGAGAGAGTAAATGAAGCTGAACTCCACTAGGACCACACTCAACAACAACCACACCGTGGCCAAGCCAATCGTTATTTGGATGCTAGTTCCCAAGTTCCTTCTTCTTGTTCTTCCTTTCTCTACTCCTGAAATTCCTCTCGTCGGAACAGGAAGAATCCTTTGGAACGGGTCCTTCTTTTCGCTTCGTATAAAATACTTTTCAGTGTCTCTAATATTTATGCGGTCCATTTTCTGCGTGGTCAACCTCTGTGTCTGTTACCTGTGTATCTGTATCGCATTGCTCTCTGTGGTGCCCAGCTTGACGTCAATCCTACTACGAGGTCAAGCCATTTGATTTCTTGTCTACCTATAAAGAATAGTTTTGATTCTGTGATGACTCTCCTCCTAATATCATCGTTCATAAGTCCATATTTTCTTGTTACACTCAGTATAACCCCCCCCCCCCCCCCTTTTTTTCCCCACCTTTCCACAGGCCCCAACCTCAAAAAAAAAAAAAAAAACACACACACGTAGATCAAACACCCGACGGTTACTAAGGAACAGGACAGTTTAAGTTTTAACGGATTTAAACAGAAAATTGATATTGCCTCCTGGATCATTTAGCCTAAATGTGGTCTCAAGAACTGTCAGGGAAAGTAAAGGCACTTAGTGGGATATTGACAATAGCATCTATACAGTGTTAACAATTATGTGAAATATAAATCGATCATATTAAAAACTGGAATTCGTTGCTGTATGCTGAAGATGAGAACGAAGTGTTTATGTGAATGTACAGAGTGCTCATATGTCAGATCTTAACTAAGCTGAACATTTGGTGAGACTTTAAGTGGTTTTTTTTATGTATGCTTGTTTAGAATTGTCATTTCCTTTAATGTGTACGGGTGAAAGCTTTCTAGTCGGAACGTTTATTTTTCGTTCGTGATAATGCGGAGGTGGCCAATTTTGCTTAGTGTTAAATCTGTTCATAGTCTTACAAATGTCTATGCACGTGTTTTACATAACACTGATCTAATATCCACTCTCTCGTAAATTGCGGGTATCTTCCTTGACATGTCGTCTACTCGTAAAACAGATTGTGAAACCGGGTGGTTTGGGTCCAGCTGTCAGTATAGGTGCCGATGTATGCAAAACAACTGTGACGCGAATGGTCTGTGTACAGGCAGTGATAGATGTCTCAATGGATGGTTTGGCCCGGCTTGTCAGTACGGTAGGGTTGACAATATTGTTCTCGTATTTTCTTTCTACGTTTGTACTTTAGACCTGACCAAAAATGTGTATTATTATATTAAAAAGTCTGGGGCGGCACTGGAATCAGGTAATGGCGGGAGTGGATCGTGTGTAGACTATCATGCCTGGCTGGTCAGAGCTGTTGGGTGTCTTCGGTCCATTGGGCTGGCTTGTTCGGCTGTCATGGCGTCTTGCTTGGTGTCTATTGGTTTTTGGGTTTGCTCGGTAGGCTAGTAGTCGGCGTCGGCTCTTTTGTTGGTTTTGTTTGCTTGGGGCCTTTCGTAGCTGGGTTGGTTTGGATTGAGGATCTTATGAGCTCTTGACATTTTTGCGAGTAGTTTACATTTGTACTCCGTTTGTCTTATGCTGATTTTAATCATGATCTTGAATGGTGAAAACAAAAATTTCAAAATACGGCGACGCTTAACCGGCTCCTATCTGAGCGTTGGTAATCTGGTCGGCCAGGTTTCTTTGCTGTTTATTCATGATGGTTCTGTGTGATGTGTTGCCACATCTGAGTTTTGTTGTTGTTACTGCTTTCCTTTGTTTGCTTCGCATTGGGCTGACAGTCTGTCTTGGTTCGGGCGATAGGTTGTCCTTCTGCATGGCAGGGAGGGGGGAGGGGGGTAGCCGTTCTGAAAAGAACGGTTAAGTTGCCAGGGTAGGCAATGGTGCGAGAAAATGGGTGGGACTGCTGAGGTTCTATTTCGGCTGGTTGGCTGTGCTTCCTCGTGTCAGTGGGCTGGCTTGTTCCACAAAGATGGCGGTCTGGTACGGGTTGGGTTTGATGTGTTCAGCTGTCTTAGTAGTGGTTGTTTCCTCGTCTACCTCTCTTGTCTTTGGGTGTTCGCCATTGTGCTTTTTCTGCTTCCATCTGCGCTTTGCTTTTCTCGAATACCCAAGGTTTTTCGCCTGTACTTTCTATAGCATCTTCCACTTGGTAGGGTTTGAGCTTGTCCCATGTATCTGATAGTTGTGCCAGTAGGTCTCTGTTCTCTTCGATCTTTTCATCGAGTTGTCGTCTCTCTTCCCTGGTGGTCTCGAGGAGTTTTTGAGTATCTCTGGTTATGTATTCCAGGTTCTCGGGTTCTTCGCCTTGGTCAACTGGTTCTGTGTCATCATCGGAATTTATCTGGTCGGCTTCTTGTTCAGTTTAATAGTCTGGTTCCGAGCTATTGGTTTCTGTGCCTTATCTCTGCTTTCTGGTGGCTCAGTCATCTGTGCCTGGTGCTTCGTTGCTTTTGGTTTGTCGGTATAAGTACTTTTGTCAGCTCTGCTGATGATTGTTTTCTTTGCGGCGTTTCTTTCCTTCTCTAGTAGGCTCTCATGTCCACTTCGTCCCAGTAGCCTCTTTTGGTCCAAATTCCTAAGCTTGGCTTGATCAGTTTGCTTAGTCTTCTCTCCAACTCATGGATGTATCTTTCTGTCTATTCGTCATCTGCTACGACGGCTGGCATCTCGAATTCTTTGTTTACTTGATCTGGTAACAGTGTTTTGCCTTCTTCTACGGGTGTGGCCTCATCTGCAGCTGGGTTCACTTCCGTAACGCAGCTTTGGTCCGTGGTTCGTGTTATTTCTGTGGACTGTGCTTCTTTGCTCTCATCTGATTTTGTCTGGTCTCGTTCCCCCTGTACATTCTGTTCATCTTCCAGGGTTTTAGAGGCTTGCATTTGCTTTCCTCTGACCGCTTCTTTCCTCGCCTTCTATCTCGCTTCGATTACTGTATTTGTGGCTGCCAGGTCATTTTGCAGTTGCGTGTTTTCTTTGTTGACTTTTGTAAGCTTTGCTTCTACTGCGAGTGACTTTTTCATATTTGTGATTTCGGCTAGGCTGTGTCGGTACTTTCTTCCTTTTGCTTCTTAAGTTCGTTCAGTACCGCTAGAAGGTCACACTTGAATTTCCCCATGTCGGCGATTTCGTTCTCAAAACGTTTCTGGGTTTCGAAGGATTCTTGCAGCAGTCTTCTTATCTCGATATTTTCGTCTCTGTCGCGATCTTGCTTAGTTTTGATGGCAGCGTTTTCCTCCCGCTTTTGGGTATATAGGGCTGAGCCCTATATACACTTGGTGGGTGATGTGGTCAGCCTCACATCGGCCGTCTTTACTTTACATGACTGCACTTGGTACCCACTCAAGGCTGGGTCGATCTGGGAGTCAGGATCATTTATTTAAAAAATGTCCTACCACTGTCAGGAGCCGAACCCACGAACTTCCGATCTGCAGGCAAGCGTCTAGCCGCTAGACCACGGTGGTTCCCTAAACGGGTTACAAGAGGGACACTAATGTTTAAAAAAAAGGGGGCGGGGAATATGCGGCTCTCATGTTTTCCCGAAGGGTGGGAGGAGTCGATTACGACTGGATTCCATCGCCACGGCTTTTATACATAATTCAGAAGAGGATGAGGGAGGTTGCCCCTTTACGAATTGTTGAAAATATGGAATGTTGAATTAAGAATCGGTATCACAGCACTCGGGACACCCCATAAGCGCTCCGTTCCCATATTTAGCAGTAAGCGAAGAGTTACAATTCTCATAGTACCAGTTTCTGTTTGTATATCCGTCTCGCCTTTCCCCTGAGTGTCGAGCATCGGCCAGGTCCCATTGTAACTCCTCCCAGCGCCATTCTTGTCAGACCGTAATGATCTGTCTTTTCCTCGGCACAGTTCACCCACTTCCGAAGGGCCTTCACTACATACAGCTTGTCATACATCAGTTCACTACCAAATGGTGCAGCATCGGCCAGTCTCTGCCTGTTCATTTTCCACCACACCGGTATAAATTGTTGCAATAAAAATGTGACATATACCTAAACTGACAGTTTTCCAGCTGGAATGATTAAAATCAAGATAAAATCCATTATTTTTTTTTTTAGTTTGACGTTGTGGTTATGTAGAATTCCATATGATACTGTATTCGTAGGTTTTGGCCATGACGGTACTGGATTTTTTAAATATTGATCTTAGCTGCCACGTGGACTCAGCCTTGCATGTATACCAGATGGAATCCTGTGAAGTAAAGGCGGCCGGATTGATGTTGACCACATCACGCACCTAGCGGTGATTGATCTATGTTAGTTTGTTTGTTTGATTTAGTACCCAGAAGCCATGAGTTGTTAACCCTTAGGCTCGGTATTATGGATATCACAACTTTTCGGCCTTGATTCCGTTTTAAAAACCGTAAATCTGGGAGAAATGATGTGGCTTTTCTGCCCACCCCAGGGAGTAAACCCGGACCACAAGGAGTTCGTCACCCGCTCACCACGCAATCCGGTTTAGCCAATTACGCTAGAGAGACGGGCAAAGTGATTGATCTATAAAATATAGGTCTATCTATGTGTAATCAATATGCCTGTAGCCGTGGAAATTGTTTTTTTTTACTTCTAACTATATTAGTCAGTGTAAGTTCTTCAAGGAAATACACTAATAGTACAACCGGCTATATTTCGTGTATTGACCGCCTCGTTAGGTTGACCGGTTTGCCAAAATCTCCTTGTTGGTCAGGTTATAGAAGTTCTTATGTATTCTTATGTACTTTTTTTTGTCTGCTCTGTTGGCAGCTGATCTGGCGTACAATCGATCAGATTTTACGGAGATCACAGATGCTGATGACGACACCTGTAACACCGACCCACACCTAGACCGTGTACATGTGCAGCTTAAAGGAATATTTACCTGGCTAAGGGTCGTCGTCAGTAACCCTAGTGAGTATAGTGAGACTGTGAAAGATCTATATCTGTTTTTTTTAATCAGCATTCTTCCGTTTCCTCTGTTCCGTTCACCTTGTGTGTTGTCAGTGCACTTGCTTGAATAAATGTTTATGCGGTGTCATGAAACCCATGGCTGGAAAAAGGATACTGTTATGGCTTGGTAATCACAATTTCATTAATGAACCAGAACTGAGTAAACAAATGTGTATTCATAAGGAAATCAACGTTCTTCTTAAAAGAGAGACATATTGTTTTAGCAAACATATCTCGAACGACTAGACTAACAGTATCTGTATATTATTAAGGTGTGCGAAGCAGCGACCGTGCAGATTATCCGTCGGACATTACTGCGACTGAGCTTTATCGTTCGTTCGGCGTACGATGTATTACCGTCCGGTGTTAACATGGTTAAATGGTCTGCGACCAACGATCCGACTTGCCCGTTGTGCAAATCAAAGCAAACTCTTGAGCACGTCCTGTCCGCGTGCAGGAAAGCTCTAGGTCAAGGCCGATATACCTGGCGCCACAACAAGGTGATAAAGGAGTTAGCAGCCGTTGTCGACCAGGCTAGAATGAGGGCTAATGCCAGAGCCAGTTCTAGTATCGTCCCCATTCGTTTCCTCAAGGCTGGGCAGGTTCCAAAAGGTAATGTCAACAAAAACGCATTCGCTCCATCTGTGCTAGACTCTGGCGGATGGAGGAGAATCATTTGTATAAGCTCGAGAAATACAGTGATTTAGCAGCCGGTTTGAGGAGAAACGAGGCTTACACAGTGCGGGTATTTGCCGTCGAAGTGGGAGCGAGAGGCCTCGTTTCCACTTCGCTCTACAATGTGGTTAAAGAGTTAGGATTGCGCGGTAATGAACGGAAACGGGCACTCAAAAAACTTGGTGAGGTGGCCGAAAGGGCATCCAGCTGGCTTTGGACGCAGCGCAACAACGTAGGGGACGGGCCTCGGTGAGCTGGTCCGGGTATCTAGTGGAAAAGAGTTTCTTATCCCTTTGAAAAGTCCATCGTGTACGAATTGTCTGCCAGTGTCTCTCTGCCAACTGCTAATAAAAGTCCAAGATGTGTCCGGTAAACCAAAGTAAGCTTGTCGCTCGGTCGTCCAGGCATGCGGACTGTTCTAATTACGCAGCCGTGGCGGCTTCTTATCTCACAGTACCTCCTTCGAAACCACCAAGTCGTCTTGTCTCTGGCCGAAAGTATAACACCATCCGGTAATTCTGTGCGGCGGGGAAGCAGCCCTGAGCTTCATGAACTCAGGTGGGCCCACCTCCGAATACGTTTAGGAATCGTGGGCCGAAACGTGTGTCGAAAGAGGATAATTTCTACTGATGACTGTAGATCCCCGCTGTACTTGCTCCCTGTGAGTTTATTCCTATTGTACGTGGCTAGCCCACAAGACTACCAGGAAAGACTGGTGACTATCGGGAAAGACCTTTTGACACCTATGGAAAGACTGGCCCCCCGGTATCGCCGGGGGGATAAACTGACATCTGGAGACAGATGTCGACTGTGGACCGGGTTGATCACCCCTAACACAGTATAATACCTCCGATTGCGTCAAACCACAAAGAAATATGCTCCCAGGGCCCTCCGAAAGGGGGGAGAGAATGAAGGGCCCAATCAAACTGATACCCTCGTTGACGACTTTGCTAGCCCCCGGACTGAGATACTCGCCCAACGTCCGGGCTGGCTCTGTACATGTGGGAAAAGCTTCACGGGGTTGCATGGTCTGAGAACGCATGCCGGAAGAATGAAATGCGAGGGTGCTCCACGCAGTAAACGCCGTCGCAAAACTACCACTCCTGTGGTAGTTTCTGAGTCGTCAGGGTACGACGGGCAGGGTGAACCCCACTCGCCCGGAGAGGCCCATGACGTCGACTGCGGAGGAGCACCTTTGATGATTTCTGAAGAAGTGCGTTCCAAGATCAGGTTTCCACCTGCGAGCGAGAAGGTGGTGTGGTGTAAGTTGGAGGCTACATTATGTGAGATACTTAAACAAACTCTAAACAAGAAGTCGCTAGGCGACAAGCTTACTAAATTTGGTGATGTAATTTATGAACACTGCTCCCGCGAGTTCGGGACAGTAGTAAAGGCACAGCCGGGTGCCAAGCAGAATACTAGCAGGAGGCAGAGGGACATTCTGAAGTGTCGGGCAGACAAGAATGCCCTCAGAAAACGGTTCAAAGCCGCTACGGGCAGCGAACGGGAGGGGCTGTACGAAGTGTGGGTGCACTTAAAGAACAAACACAGTGCCCTCTGTCGCGCCGAGCGTTTCTGTAACAACAGACGTAGAACCAAAAGGGAGCGAGAGAAATTCTTTAGGGACCCGTATCAGTTTGCCCGAGGTCTATTCGAGCAACCGAAGTCTGGGACTCTGGTTGTCAGTCAGAAAGAACTTGAGCTACATCTAAGCAAGATGTACTCTGATAAGAAGAGGAGAGAGCCTCTTGATGACAATCCAGAGATCCTTAGCGGACTCAAACAGCCTTCGGTGCCGAAGGTACCATTTAAAATGGTACCTCCCCTTTGGTCTGAGGTTGAAGATGTTGTGAAAAAGGCCAGCGGCAAGTCTGCCCCAGGTCCGAACGGTGTCCCGTACGTTCTTTACAAGCGTTGCCCGAAAATCCTAAAAATGCTTCACGTCTTGCTGCGACAAGCGTGGATCCGCAATCACATATGTCCAGAGTGGTCAAAGGCAAATGGGGTCTACATTCCCAAAGAGCAGGACTCGAAGAGTCTTTCCCAATTCAGGCCCATCTCGCTGTTGAATGTTGAGGGTAAGATATTCTTCTCAGTCATGGCTCGCCGGCTCACACAGTATCTGATGACTAACAAGTACATAGATACGAGTGTTCAGAAGGGTGGTATTCCAGGCGTTCCTGGGTGCCTTGAACACGCGACCATGATCTGGGAGGCTATCCAGAGAGCCAAGCATGAGAGAACCAATTTGCACGTTATATGGTTGGACTTAGCCAACGCCTACGGGGCAGTCCCCCATAGGCTACTGTGGCGAGCCCTTCGCATGTTTCACGTACCGACACAGATCAGTCAAATGGTCGAGCAATATTTCTCCAAGTTCGCTTTGCGCTTCTCTACCTCGACGTTTACCACGAGGTGGACTGAGTTGCAGATTGGGATAGCTATGGGGTGTACGATCTCACCCATACTGTTTGTCATGGCAATGCAGATCATGTTAGACGGGGCGGCCGGCTACGGACTGGGCCTTCAAATAGGGGATCACTGGTTGCCGCCACTGCGCGCATTTATGGATGACACGACTATTATAACGGGCAGCGAGGAGTCTGCCCGCACGATCCTGAAAAGATTGGACGCGGTGGTCCAATGGAGCGGTATGCAGTTCAAACCGCAGAAGTCGAGGAGTCTGTCAATCCATAAGGGCAAAGTGTCGGCGATCAGTTTTACGGTGGCAAGGAACAAGATCCCTACGGTTCTGGAGGAACCGGTGAAGAGTCTCGGTCGCGTTTACGATTCGAAGTTATCTGACAGAGCGGAAGTCCGGCGAATACATGAGTCACTGGCTACAGGCCTGCTCGCGATCGAGCGATGCAGGCTGATCGGAAAATTCAAGGTATGGTGTCTCCAATTCATGTTGATTCCGAAGCTTCTATGGCCACTGCTAGTCTACGAGGTGACGATGACTGCAGTTGAAGCCATGGAAAAGAAAATCAATACAGCCTTAAGAAAGTGGATTGGAGCACCGCCTTGTCTGACCGACGTGGCTCTGTATTGCAAACAGGCTAAGCTGGTACTTCCGTTCAAGTCGATAACCGAAGAGTTTAAAGTCGGCAAAGTAAGGCTCGCCATGCTTCTGCGTGAGTCTTCAGACCCAAATGTCACCGCTGTCCAGCCCGCTCTAAAGACTGGTACCAAGTGGAGGGTCCTCGATGCAATTGAATCTGCTCAGAACGCACTAAAATTGAAGGAGGTGATGGGTTACACACAAACCGACCGTCGAGGCCTAGGGCACGGGAAAGTCAATTGGTGGTCAAAGGCCTCAGCCAAAGAGCGCCGAGACATGGTGATACAAACGGTGAGGGACAACGAAAACGAGGTTCGGGTTCAGAAAGCAGCCCAACAGTCGCAGCAGGGCCATTGGGTCAGCCTGGAGAGCGCATTGCCGAGAATACTCACATGGGGTGAGATCTGGCGGATGACCCCGCTGCGACTGAGCTTTATCGTTCGTTCGGCGTACGATGTATTACCGTCCGGTGTTAACATGGTTAAATGGTCTGCGACCAACGATCCGACTTGCCCGTTGTGCAAATCAAAGCAAACTCTTGAGCACGTCCTGTCCGCGTGCAGGAAAGCTCTAGGTCAAGGCCGATATACCTGGCGCCACAACAAGGTGCTAAAGGAGTTAGCAGCCGTTGTCGACCAGGCTAGAATGAGGGCTAATGCCAGAGCCAGTTCTAGTATCGTCCCCATTCGTTTCCTCAAGGCTGGGCAGGTTCCAAAAGGTAATGTCAACAAAAACGCATTCGCTCCATCTGTGCTAGACTCTGCGAGGGACTGGTTACTGGCGGTTGATCTGCCAGGACATGAACGGTATCCCGAGTTGATCCGTAAAACCGGCCTGCGACCGGACATCGTTCTCCATTCTGCGCAAAAACGGCAACTCATCCTGATTGAGTTGACGGTCCCGTTTGAGTCGCGGATGGAGGAGAATCATTTGTATAAGCTCGAGAAATACAGTGATTTAGCAGCCGGTTTGAGGAGAAACGAGGCTTACACAGTGCGGGTATTTGCCGTCGAAGTGGGAGCGAGAGGCCTCGTTTCCACTTCGCTCTACAATGTGGTTAAAGAGTTAGGATTGCGCGGTAATGAACGGAAACGGGCACTCAAAAAACTTGGTGAGGTGGCCGAAAGGGCATCCAGCTGGCTTTGGACGCAGCGCAACAACGTAGGGGACGGGCCTCGGTGAGCTGGTCCGGGTATCTAGTGGAAAAGAGTTTCTTATCCCTTTGAAAAGTCCATCGTGTACGAATTGTCTGCCAGTGTCTCTCTGCCAACTGCTAATAAAAGTCCAAGATGTGTCCGGTAAACCAAAGTAAGCTTGTCGCTCGGTCGTCCAGGCATGCGGACTGTTCTAATTACGCAGCCGTGGCGGCTTCTTATCTCACAGTACCTCCTTCGAAACCACCAAGTCGTCTTGTCTCTGGCCGAAAGTATAACACCATCCGGTAATTCTGTGCGGCGGGGAAGCAGCCCTGAGCTTCATGAACTCAGGTGGGCCCACCTCCGAATACGAAATCGATTACTTCCCTGATGCCCTGCCGATTATGTACACGCACACACATTTGTCTTCTTCTGCTTCTTTTTCTTATTCTTGTTTTTTTTTTTCTACTGGAATGCCTCGCGACGTCAGGACCGAACGAGATCTCTGGAACGGGACCTTGTGTTCGCTTCGTAAATAGTACCTTGACGTGTTTCTGATATTTCCGCGGTCCATATTTGGCGTGGTTGACCTCTATTTCGTTTACAACGGCATCTGTTATAACATTGATTCCTCTCTCTCTCTCTCTCTCTCTCTCTCTCTCTCTCTCTCTCTCTCTCTCTCTCTCTCTCTCTCTCTCTCTCTCTCTCTCTGGTTACCTCTCTAATGCCAGTCTTGTTACATGACCAAACCGATGACTTTGTTGTTTACCTATAAATTTCGTAATTGGTTCTGTGCTGAAACTCCTCTTGATATCATTGTCGACCTTTATTTGTTACACCTAGCTTAGTACGTAAACATTTAATTTCTATTGTGATTATGTTCCTTCTGTCTTCTGGAGATAGTGTCTTTGTTTCACATTAATAGCAAAGCGTTGCTAAAAATATTGTGTTGAACAGTGATATTGTTCATATTCACATGCTTTCGTTTCAAAATTGGTCATTTGGCCTAAAACTTGATGCGCTTTATTGAAACTTTGCATATTTTCAACCCACTTTCTTCTGTTTAAACTAGGATGTTTTATGAGATGCAAAAACGAGGTAACTATTTCAAAAATCCTTGGTTCGATTCCACTGCAGGTAATCTGGCAGCAGATCGCTTTGCGTTGATTTCAACAATGGCAATAGGAAAGCACTGAATGTCAAACAGCTTAACATCACAAGCAGCCACATATGTTGTGGTTGTTTCTGCAAAGTCGTTTAATAGATATGCAGCTGACTAACTTACGTAAATGTTTTAAAAAAAAATTAAAAGTGAAACGCAGTGTTATTCGATAGTTCTTTACAACTAAAGCAGCAAGAAATGTGTAGCTGCTGTGAGAACTTGTGTCATAACTGAAACTTTGAGAGTCGTGGCAATTGAATGATTTATATTGTAAAAATTACCTACTAGAATACCTTTGGATTCAAGCAATCAGTTGATAGCTTTTTTGCATCTGATACGCACATAGTGTTTTTAAACGTAAATGGTTCTCCCGTCAACTAAGTTTATTAGCAGAAAAGCACCATCGGATAATTACTATTTTCTTTTTTAAACCGGACATTTACTAAGACTGTGTATGTTGTTTGTCTCCACACCAGAATCCCGGTACCAGCTGAAATTTCGATTACGATTTGGCTCTTCCGTAGACTGGTGCACCGATGGCCGAACTGCACCGGTCAGCGAGAGAGTGTTGGACGTGTACTGTCCGAGCAACAGGACTGTCCTGGGCGTGATCATCCTGGGACTGGGAGTCCGGCATCTCTGTTCTCTTTACATCAGTGGAGGTATGTCACTGAGCGGAATGTTGTATCTGTCTGGTATGTCACTGAGCGGAATGTTGTATCTGTCTGGTATGTCCCCGAGCGGTATGTTGTATCTGTCTGGTATGTCACCGAGCGGAATGTTGTATCTGTCGGGTATGTCACCGAGTGGAATGTTGTATCTGTCTGGTATGTCACCGAGCGGAATCTTGTATATGTCTGGTATGTCACCGAGCGGAATGTTGTATCTGTCTGGTATGTCACCGAGCGGTATGTTGTATCTGTCTGGTATGTCACCGAGCGGAATGTTGTATCTGTCTGGTATGTCACAGAGCGAAATGTTGTATCTGTCTGGTATGTCACAGAGCGGTATGTTGTATCTGTCTGGTATGTCACCGAGCGAAATGTTGTCTATGTCTGGTATGTCACTGAGCGGAATATTGTATCTGTCTGGTATGTCACTAAGCGGAATGTTTATCTGTTACCTAGGGGGCAGTCTGGCTAGAAAGTTGAAAATACAGGTACTATTTTGTTTTTAATGAATGACCAACTAAATATCAAATCATCTTCTTAAAATTTGGTGAGCATGTGCTTCATTCATGACTGCTCACTATTTTTTTTTTTTTTTTTTTTTTTTTTTTACAAACTTGTTCAAACTTGCTAAATTATTTTTAAATTAAAAATACTGTAAAAGTGAACTTAAAAAAAAAAAATAGATGTTGGTTTTATACAAATATTTTCGGAACTAACTTTAACAAAGTCCTGAATTTTGGAGTCATGGCAGTACATTGTTACAGTTAGATACACTACCTCTAGTTTTTCTGTACTAATAATACTTTTAAAGTTATGGAGTTTTTAATTTGGGGCTAAAATGACATACAAATTATGAAATTAAATTATTGATAACTCAACTTAGATTACGTATTTCTCAAAGCTGGCGGTAGAGAGCCTAGCTGTTATTGCTTTAAAGCTGTGTACCAAGGTTTATTAATTTATCTCAAATAGTTTAGAAAAAAAAAAAAAAAAAAAAAAAAAAAAAAAAAAAAAAAAAAGATCAGTCAAACCACTTACATTTTGGAAAATATTTTCGTGAATTTTTAAAGAGAGTAATTGCACTCACTCGGCTTGAATGAGCTAATGTTCTCCAGGCAAACTTCCTGGTGGACCTGCTTCTCATTTCTAGTAAATCTTTTCCACCTCTTAGCTTTTCTGGCTTCATATAATGCATCTTTGGCTTGCTGTTGAGCATTTTTATGCAGTGCATATCCTTATCTAGAAAACAATCCTTTTTTAGAAAACAGTCTATAGAAAACTGTCCAACACTGAGCTCGAGTGCCTTAACAATATCCAAGGATGTCCTATCACAATCACTGAATACTAACTGCTAATCTTCTTCTTCTTCGCGTTCACCAGCTGTACACTCTGGTGGAAAGTTCTGGTTGCTCGTCCACTACTGAACTGCAGTCCTGCTCCAGAACCTGAGCGTTGCGTGTGCATCAGTTTTACAGATCTCATTCTCTTGAATACAGACTGTTGGTTCCTTGCCTCTCCGGCAGATGCACTCCGACTTCAAAGGAAGCTCCCCAATTAGTCGACTCTTACGACATGCTTTTGGGGAGGCAGTGGGTTTATTCTTGTTCTCCCCACAATGGGGCCCCGGAACCCACACGGGGGACTAACTGCCAATGAAACAATTGTAGTTACAACCGGTAGTTGTAGCCACTTCAGTCACTGAAAATACAATCTTACTTCCTATACCTTGCCTCTGAGTTTCAACTAATCTGAGGCTATGATGACAACTTGCACTCACTAATTGTGATAAAACATTCTGACACAAAATTTCCATATGATATAAATAATAATAATTATGATGCCACTGGGGATACGTTTAGATAAATCGTTCCTTTCTCTCTCAATGTCACTACTAAAGTCATCAGAACACTTTTGTTTATCCTCTAGATCTTCATTCATAATGTTGTCCATAAACAGAGAAAGTAAGCGTGGTACTTACATATTTTGAAGTTACTAAAACCGTGTTATTGTTTTCTTTATCAGAAACTGGACAAGTGTCAGTGTCACTGCTTGAAACTGAAACACGAGGGTCCGACTGAAAATCTACCAGTCAAAGTCGCTTTATTTTTCCTAAGTCGCACTGATGTCCACCTCTTTTTGACTTTACATCTCTGTTCTGGAAATGGAGGCGTAATTATGAACTAAATATTGATCAAATATCGCACAATATAAAGCTAAACACATAAAAATCTCGCTGTAAACACAATGCGAAAAAGCGGAAGTCAGTTAGCGGTGTAATCGTTATTTATAATAAGACCACAGAAACAGAGAGTGGTGCATTGTTTTAGATTGAAAAGAACAAGGATTTTCTGTCAAATAGTGACTTTGAGCAGACCATCTACACCCATTTATAATCAAAATATCTCAGGTTCTTTTGATCAGATATTAAAATTTTTTAACTGCATATGAAAATAGACATGTTCATTTACACGGTTAGCGGCATAGAATATGTGAAAGCAAAAAATATGATTCATATTTCCAGCCAGACTGGCGCCTTAAAAAAATAAATTGAAAAAAAACCTATGCTAATCAGTAGTGCATATTTCCACTGCAGGCTTCCATTGGCGGAGGGGGGGGGGGGTGGAGGGGGGAGGAGAGGAGACGTTCTTTTGTTTATCTATGTAAGCGAAAGTTTTAAAAGGATAAATGCATGAAGTCAGAGTTAATTGCATTAGAAAACAAATAGGAAAAGAAAACAGGCAAACCATTATAATTATTTTGCCGCTGGTCCTGTGCAGAAGGGCGCTCTAATAACGGTCTACGTGAAAGAAACTCAGTCTGTCGTCAGATACATACTTTCCCGCAAGCTCTCTCATCAGCTGCACTTCCAGGAATCGCTTATATCATGTGGAAATCTTTGTTTTGTTCGGTCCGAGCCCTCCCCTTTCTGTTACAGTGTCTCCTGCTATTATGTGTTTTCCAATCTGCTGTGGCGCTTAGTATGGCTAAAATATTTTAGCTTCTGAGACAAGATGCTGTTTATTAGTCGATTGGTCTTGATGTTCAGAATGTCAGTGTTTTTTTTTTTTTTTTGGTGTTCACTATCACCCTCTCCCTCTCATTCTTCTCATTTTATCCCTCCCATTTTCTCTCTCTCTCTCTCTCTCTCTCTCTCTCTCTCTCTCTCTCTCTCTCTCTCTCTCTCTCTCTCTCTCGGCCTTATTCTCGGTTGTCACTTTTTTTACTGTCACCACATATGCCCCCCTCTAATAACGTTCTAAAATTGTATGTTGCGTTATTTTATCACAATCGACGTAACTGCATACTAGATAGTCCCATGTGTGCTCCTATGTCAAAACATGCAGCAGCCGACTCAAGTTTTAAGACTTTTCCTTTGAAATATTGGTTATAATAAATCCTTTCCTGAGCTCAAAGGCAACACCAACAAGGCTGGCTAAAGAACACGATACATGCACACATGGTGACTTTAACTGACTCAGAAAGCAATCCGAGGAAGGTGAGGACAGGCATGCTTCGTGCAGAGTGTCATGCTTCGCTTGGCAGGCCAGGGTGAGGAGCATTGTCTAGAACTTTACTCCAGATCATGCCGGTGTGTGTGTGGAAACGAACACACGAACAGATTGGCTGGCTTAAAGCCTTATGGGAGCACGTGCACAATTTTAGGACAACAAATGTATCGTCTCTGTCTGGTTAGGTCTGGCATATACTCGCCACTCAGAGGAAAAGCAATACGGACATATAATCACACTGCTACTAGCACCATTGATACTGGAACACCGCACTAGCTGCTGAAGATGGGGACGGAGCGCTTATGGGAATGACCCGAGTTCTGTGATGCCGGTTTTTTAATCAACTCAGCTCAGCTCAACTAGGCTTCAACTCAGTGTTCATGCAATAGTTTTAGCGCCAGAGATTCATTACTCTCTACCAGTCTACTTCATTTGTGTAGATATCTGCTCTGTCCATGCATCTGTGCTAAATAAAATATATGTTAATTTGCTTTGCTTTTATTTTTATGTGGCTAATCCTTTCTGTCAGTGAGAGAAGACATCTATACATTTTCCCTGCGTTTTGTGTCCACCTGCCCACTATTCTGTCATTGCTTTTTTATAGAGGCACATCTTAGCATCGTCTGCATATGTTTTGTTAATTGTCTGATTGTCTTTGCTGTTCGAATAAATCTTCTTAAAAGCCAGCTTTTAGACAAACCACACAATTTTTCACCCGCCTCTGTTCACTGTTGTACCAGTTCCAGCTGTTGTGTTAGTTGTTTTGAAGTCCAAATATTCTTCTGTTGTATGTTGTACAAGTACCACCTGATGTAGTACTACTGTTATACTATAAGATGTTGTATAAGTACCACCTGATGTAGTACGACTGTTATACTATAAGATGTTGTATAAGTACCACCTAATGTAGTACGACTGTTATACTATAAGATGTTGTATAAGTACCACCTGACGTAGTAAAACTGTTATACTATAAGATTTTGTATAAGTACCACCTGATGTAGTTCGACTGTTATACTATAAGATGTTGTATACGTACCACCTGATGTAGTACGACTGTTATACTATAAGATGTTGTATACGTACCACCTGATGTAGTACGACTGTTATACTATAAGATGTTGTATAAGTACCACCTGATGTAGTAAGACTGTTATACTATAAGATTTTGTTTCAACTTCCGTTTGTTGTGATAAAGGATTTGTACAAGCACAACTTGTAGTAATGTTAAATGATGTACACGTACCTCTGCTGTGTTGTTAGATGTCGCACAACTACCATTTGTTGTGATTTTTGGTAACTATAAACAACACGTGTAGCTTTCTTGGATGCTGTACAATTACAATCTGCTTTGATGTTGGATGTTGCAGGTCGAAACATGGCCTTAAGGCAGTTCACTAACCAGTCGACGACTTCTACTTTTGCGGGTCCCAATAATGAGATTATATCGTTAGGGCCAGATAAGGCCGTAGATGGCTTTACAGATGGAAATACCAAAATGCTGACCTGTACACACACTATAAACGATGACAAACTGTTCGGCCAATATTGGACTGTGAGATTGGGACACCCAGGACGTGTTAGTCGATATGTGTTGTACAATCGACTTACGAGTACGTAGGCGGTTTGTGTTTACACTGTAAATATCTTGTACAAAAGGGAAGGTGGGACATAGATGAATTGTGGATATATCTTGTAAAGCATAAGGAAATGGTATGTGTGTGGTCTGCTGATGTCTTGTACAACAGGGAAGGTTGGACATATGTGAATTGTGGATATGTGCAAAAGGGAATGGTATATATATATATATATATATATATATATATATATATATATATATATATATATATATATATATATATATATATATATATATATATATATACATATATATATATAATATATATATATATATATATATATATATATATATATATATATATATATATATATATATACATATATATATATATATATATATATATATATATATATGATACATATAGTCTGTTGATACCTTGTACAACAGGGAAGGTGGGACTTACGTTAATTGTGGATATGTCTTGTTAAGCAAAAGGTAATAGTATGTATGTAGTCTGTTGATATGTCTTGTACAACGAAGGGGACGGTATGTATGTGGTCTGTTGAAATGTCTTGTACAACGAAAAGGGGAGTGAGGGAGTGTGCGGGGTCTTGTGGTCTGTTGATTTGTCCTGTGCAACCCAGACAAAAAGTATGTGTGGTTTGTGGATTTGTTAAACCGTGTACAACATGGTGGACGGTATGTTTGTGGATTGTGGATATGTCTGGTACAACAGAGAACGCAATTTATGTGGTTTATGGATATGTCGTGTACAACAGAAAACATGGAGTGTATGTTATTTGTGGATATGTCTTATACAACAGTGGGAACAGTATGTTTGGGGTCTTTGGATCTGTTTTGTAAAACATAAAGGATGGATTGTATGTTGTTTGCAGAAATGTCTTGTACAACAAAGACCATGGTATGTATGTGGATATGTCTCGTACACCAGATAAGATCGTATGTATGTTAATATGTCTTGTACAACAGAGAAGATTGTGTGTATATGGTATGTGGATAAGCCCTGTAAACAGAGGACGGAATATATGTGGTTTTGTTTATGGAATGTCTTGCACAACAAATAGTATAATCTGCATGTGGTTTATGAATATGTCTTGTAAAACAAAGAGTGCATGTATGTGTTTTGCTTATAGACGTGCCTTGAATAACAGAATATGGCAGTATGCATGTGGTTTGTGGGTGTTTCTTGTAAAACAAAAGGGCAGTATGTAAGTGATTTGGAGACATGTCTTAAACTGTAAGAGGACGGTAACTAAACGGTTTTCGTATATGTATTGTATAGCATATAGGGTGGTATGTGTGTGGTTTTAGTATATGCCTTGCATAACATAGGAAACAGTACTATGTACTTACTTTATAAAGTCAGTAAGCAGTTTCAAAATTTATTACGTAGATTAAGAGTTGAGCTAGGTGTGACCAGGGGATCTGGTCGATACTGTAGGCTCAAAGGAAAGACAAGACGGATGGATAATCTAACCTTTGCTGGTCCCATCGGAATAGGAAATTTTCGCTGGCTGCTGAAAAGGAGGTCAAAGTATTTATGGGAATATATTATCTGATCTGATATCGGTATTGAATTGAGCTCGACACTCAACACGCAAGTGTAGCAGTACAGGCACTGGCAAAGCAATTAAACAGCCACAACAGACGACGTGGCTGAGCGGGAAAGCAGTCGCAACAGACGACGTGGCTAGGCAGACAAACAGTCACTGCAGACGGTATACTGGAGCAGGTAAACAGTTACTACACAGATAACCGAGTTGAGCTAGCAAACAGTCGCAGCAGACGGCATGGCGGAGTAGTTAAACAGTCGCAGGAGACACAGTCGTGGAGCAGGTATACAGTCGCAACAGACGACCTTGCTGAGCAGGTAAACAATTATAGCAGACCACTAGGTGGATGAGGTAAACAGTCACATCAGGCGACATGATAGAGCAAGTGAACATTCGTAGCAGACCGCCTGATGAAAAAGGTAAACAGTCGTTGCAGACCACCTAGTGGAAAAGGTAAACATTGGTAACCACCTGGTGCAAGTCAACAGTTGTGTCAGACCACTGGGTGGAGCAGGTAAACTGTCGTGACAGACCACCTGGTGGAAAAGGTAAACAGTCCTGCCAGACCACCTATTGCAGCAGGTAAACAGTCGTGACAGACCACCGGGTAGAACAGGTAAACAGTTGTAACAGACCCCCTAGTGGGGCAGGTAGTCGTAGCAGGCCACCTAATGGAAATGGTAAACAGTCGTGACAGACAACCTGGTGGAAATCAGGGACACAGTCTTTTCAGACCACCTGGTGAAGCAGGTAAACAGTCATGACAGACCACCTGATGGTAAAGGTAAACAGTCGTGCCAGACCACCTATTGGAGCAGGTAAACAGTCGTGACAGACAACCTGATGGAACAGGTACACAGTCGTGGCAGACCACCTGGTGAAAAAGTAAACAGTCGTGGCAGACCACCTAGTGGAAAAGTTAAACTGTTGTGGCAGACCACCTGGTGTAGCGGGTGAACAGTCATGGCAGACCACCTGGTGGAGCAGGTAAAAAGTTGTTGTCAGACCATTTGGTGGAGTAGGTAACAGTCGAAGCAGACAACAAGATGTAGTGGAGCAGGGTTCATTTTACGTTTTTCGACCCAGAAAGAGAGTGACTTCCGTTGCCATTCATGCCTCGTCGAGTCTTAGGACCTCTTCGATTGTGCGAGGGTTTTGATGGTATGGCTTAGTTTGTCGTTCCTTCGCTTAGTGTATATAATGTTTGTGTGTATCTGTGTTGTCGTCAGTTTTTTTCAATAGGCGCCTGTCTACAAGTAAGAAGTAACCGCAGGGGAAGCGCCGCATGCACGACGATTCTTGAGTATCGAAACCGGGATGCTTTTTTTTTTATTTTACGTACATTGGCGTCACCCCCCACCCCTCTTCCATCCTTTTTCCCAAGGGAAAGGAAGCACTTACAAAAAAATCAGGAAAAGAACAATATCGCTGTTTCCAAACCCTCAAAACGTCGCGTAGGTAGTAAAACAAAGTGAAAACAATCCGCAAGCGAGTAGTGAGAAGACGAGAAGAAAGGACGACGGTGAAATCTTTGACAATGAGAAAAACAGGACACCAGGTTACTACCCTGGCGTTCTTTGCTGTTCTACAAGGCTGATCTGTTAGCATATTCCTATGTTCTGTCAAACGTTGAAAAATGTAGACTTTAGTAGAAACAATCTCTCTTATCCTTAGCTTTATATATATTGTCGAATCTCCTAGCAAGAAAAAAAAAACTTAAAATATTTCTTTTTTGTCGAGCCTCTTAGCCAAATTTAGGTTGATGTATTATTATAAGTTTTTCACATATTTACATTAACTGATTACTTTTTATATATATTTCCGAGCCATGTCAAGATTGATTCATTATTTATTTTGTCTAGTCCCCATTGTTTAGATGGATTTAATGTTTTTGTCTCGAAAGTTTTAGCCATGATTAGAGCGACTGATTTAATTTGCTAAGTCTTTAGTCGCGTTTTGTCTCGAAAATTCTACCTATGTTAAGACCGACTGGTTTTGTTAGTCAAGTCTTTCTTTAGTCGCGTTTTGTCTCGAAAATTCTAGCCACGATTAAACGGACTGATTTCATTTGCCAAGTCTTTTTAGTCGCGTTTTGTCTCGAAAATTCTTGCCACGATTAGACGGACTGATTTTTTTTTTTTTTCATCGAACACCGGCTGTGAATTCCAGTGGAAGGTCCCGGTTAATCGTCCGCTTGGACTTTTGGCCTTCACCTGGACCTGATTTTTGCGTGTACAACCGTTTTTCATTTCCCTGCCTCTTGGGCAGCTGTACGCCGACTTCGAGGGAAGACGTCAGGCCTATTTCTAGGGTGACTGTGGCCATTGTTTTGTGTGGGTCGAGACGTTGCCTGATTTGTGTGGTGTCCATTTTGTCTCCTTCGCCGCAGGTATTGCCCCCGGAGTACCCCTTTGGGGCAGCCCCCTTTGGAACAGTTGGCCCTCAAGGGAAGGCAGGGGCAGATCATGGGCATTCCCCGCCATCCAAGGAGGCTTCCATGCATGCAGAGCCGGCACATATCGCTCTGTTTTCTGGGCTCACCCAGGAATCGTCACGTCCTGCACATGCCTGCTTAACCTCACAACCGTATCAGGCCTCCCGCTCGACAGGGGCTGCGCCCTCTGGAAGTCAGCGGGGAGCAGCCTTTGGGTTTTGGACTTTTGTGACCACACAGATAGGTACATTAGCCCGACTGAATTTCGCATCCTGAATCAGGCATATCGTTGTCAGTTTTTCCCAACACTCGGGCGAGTGAGGTCTTTGGGTGTGGATATTCGGTCTCTTTCAGTTCAGTGCAAATTTTGATGGTCAGATTTTGATCCGTATGATCTAGTTTTGTCGGACATTTAGGCTTAGCCATCTGATGGATGGTTGCTGATTTGATTTGCCGAGTCTTTAGTCGCATTTGGATTTATTTTGTTTTTGGTCCAGTCTCCTAGCTATTTCATGATTAGTTTGTTGTTCAAGATTACTCTACTTCTTCATATTTCAAACCCACAGTGGGATACAGGCTCATCGGCTTCAAGCTGGAAAGCTTCAGCAAGGAGGGAGCTGCAATATTTTCCTTCGCGGACGCAAGCCCTATCTCACAGACTGTGTACACCATACACAACGAGACACTAGGCGTTGCCTCCGTGACGATATCTCTTCCCTTTAATAAAACAAGGCTGACACTGTGTGAAGTCGAAGTGTACGGAGGTAATTGTTTTCATAATGTTATTGACTCGATGAAATGCAGGCTTGAATATGTCCCTTTTCCCCCACACGATGTGAGCCAAGGATCTGAAAAGCTATAAGCACTAGACTGCTGTATTTGCAACACATGCACATATACACACACACATATAAGTAAAAGTTAAAAAAAGTAAAGGACTCTTTTCCACGCCTTTAGGCGTATAGGGCATATAGGGCTAGACCGATATTTTTTATAGACCAATCGGCACAAGATGGGAGATGTGGTCAGCACCATGCGGTCCGCCTCTATTTCCCGTGACTGCATCCGTACCCACTCAAGGCTGGGTAGATCTGGGAGCCAAGGTCGATTTTGAAAAAAAGTCCGGCTTCGCTAGCGAGCGAACACACACACATACACGCATATATATATATATATTCAAACACACACACAAACACACACACACACACATGCATATATATATATATATATATATATATATATATATATATATACACATATATATTCACACACACACAAACACATATACAACCCCCACCCCCGCCCTCGCTAGCCCCACCCTCGCTAGCCCCACCCACATAAACACACATACACATCCAAGTGATACATACGCTTGACAAAATTGCTGAAAGCTAACAGTAAAGTTAGTTTTGATTAGTGCTACATGTTGTTTTGTTTTTTTAAATCCTGTTGACAGCACAATGCTGATTTTGATTGTTAAAAAAAAAAAAACTGCTGCCGACCTCCCACAGGTCGGGATTAAAGTTCAAACTGTTGGTACCGCCCTTATAACTAACACAATTAAATGCAATCACACTGTTACTAGTTCAACACTTGGGCCATTTGTTGCGGAATTCTTTTCAGACTTAAAGTATAAAAGTATTAGGGGTCGTAGGAGGAGGAATATTATAATGGAGGAGGGGACAGCGAGGGGGTCTCGAGGCATGGTGTTCGCCTCCAGTGCTGGTGGTTCCGGGTTCAATCCCCGGTGAGGGCTGAGATTTGTTTCACGTGGAGTTGGACTTTAGTAATTCCCCCTGGTCTCTTAGTCATAAGATCGGACGTCCATATGCATTGTTGCGCACGTACAAAAATCTCTTGGCAGTTGGAAATCGAAAAGAGTAGCCTAACGCCGCTGCCCAGGCAAAACTTGGAGTTAAAAATCTACCTAAAGTATTTCAGAATCCTCGCCGGTGCTACATAGCCTGTGTACTGCGCTGAGCTTTTTCGGACATGAGTTAGAAAAAGAACGGAGCACTTATGGGTTACTACCAGTGTGCCATGATGTTAGTCCATTGTTGAAACTTCAAACTTCATAACTCCAGCTAAAGTTAACATTTGGTGGTTGTAGCGTTAAATAGGAAATGCGAGGAAATATTAGCGTCAAATTACATGTTAAATTCGTAATTGAAGCGTGAATGATATCTGGAAATGTTACCTGTCCCGGTCACCGCTTATAAGTAGTTCCTCATTTACTGAAAATGTACAGACGGATTTACAGACCTGTGCATTGGAATACCCCCGAGTGCTGTGATGCCAATTCTTGACTCAGCCCAACTCGTACTTTGTTGACCCCTCACTCGCATGCGTTTTGTTTTTACTACTTATCAAAACGTAATTCGGTAACGCCAAACACACGATTAAATATTCAGAAAAAAAAAGTGTGTCATAAAGTGCTACTAAAAGCGTAAGAAGATCCCAAAATTGTAAAGAAGATTTGTACTGTTGTCTAAATATAAACGTAGAAAGACTTTTTTTTTTTTCCTATAAGAAATCACCTTAACTTCCAGGTTGCCCCGGCTTTAAATGAGCACATGGTAAAGTCGTGTGAAATAAATGCGGCCGGCTTGATGTAGACCACATCATTCACCGAGTGCTTAATAGTGTTTAAATATAAGTCTAGCCCTATATACCATGTACGCCCAAAGGAGAGGTTAAGGTCCTTTAAACCTCTAAGACGCGGAGTGATGTTTATCTGAGTTCTCAACGTATCTTTTGTGCTGAATGTATTTATATACTGTATTTATATACTTTGCGCTTGTTCTAAGATACTATATGCGAATCTGGACATTACGGACGGGAGTGCGAGAAGCAGTGTAACTGTTTGAATAGTGAGGACTGTTTTGTCAGCTCTGGAGGCTGCCCCTCGGGATGTCACACCGGCTATCATGGAGAGAACTGCAGAACACGTGAGTCTGTCTCGTTTTTTCTTTCTTTGTTTTTCACTCTAAACCTGACATCCACCATAATTGATGTTTTATATAATCTTGGGTAAGTAAAACGAAAACAGACTAAACATTCGCGGTTTATTTCATCCATCACAGTTTTAACACATTCAAGATCTATGGCGTCATGAAAGCTAATAGAGGTATTTGCGACAGGCATATATCGAGAATGACTGATAATAGAAGGGTACAAATTGAATACACAAGGGAGTTGAATGACGGTAGACAATATGGTATAGCTCGAATGCCCCTAAGTCCGGGCTGTGACTTATAACCCAATAGGAACGTGAAGAATCTAGGACAGTAATGACAAGGAACAGTGTATGTAGGTATAGGGCCAATTATATGGGCCCTTCAAGCCAGCCTACGCACTTAATTAGCCCCTTTTCCAGACCGACTTGTTGAATCTGCACGAGTTTATTGTTTAGTGGGCATCCGAAGCTAGGAGTGATCAAGGCCAGTTTAGGAGCAAGTGAACAATGCAGAGACACGAATCAATCATCGTGGCCTGAAGAGAAGAATACAGCTGGAAGTGACCAGTCGATATGGGCGACACTCTACATTCAAAAAGCAAGTTGAACATAATATCAACCTGGTACTGGCACTATTAGAATTGGAAGGCTTTGCAGGCTGCTGAAGGTGAGGACGGAGAGCTTATGGGAACATCCTGAATGTTTTGTCAGTTATTAGCTCCATACTCAACACTATAAATATATTTCCGATGCGTTGGTAGCATTAAACATGCACATTAATTTTACTTTACCTAATAATGGTGCATGATGTTCTGTCTCGTCCGCCCAAACCAGCTTGCAGCTCGGATCAGTATGGCCAGCAGTGCACGTATAATTGTAGTCAGTTCTGTGTACGCGACTTATCAGATGACAGGACATGTGATCTTGTCAGTGGCAGATGTTTCCGTGGATGTCAAAGCGGTTACAGCGCTCCTAGATGTGAAACCGGTATGGTGTTGCTGATGCTGGTAATGTCTTACAGTTTTGTTCAAGGTTTTTGGCAGTGACTCCTAAACTGTGCGCCGCGGTGCCTTTCGGGAAGCCGCGACCTCTTAACAGGCTCGCCGCGAACTATTGTAAAAGCTTAATAAATAATTTTAACCAAGACATTTGGCCTAACTCAACAAACACGCGGGAAGCTAAAATTATCAATATTTTCTTTGTGTGATTTGTTTTTATCTCTTACTTACAAATAGTCATACTTTTCTTTAGGTTAGGGCGCCGTGGAAACATTTTAACTGAAAAAAAAAAAAAAAAAAATGCGCTGCGACTAAGAACAGTTTGGGAAACAATGGCTTAGGATATATACTTTTATGGCTTGGACTCCAGACGACATCATTTGCCATGAGAAGTAAAAGTTTAGCCATCATCAGGGCTTTTTGTCATAAAAATAAACAACAACTAAAAAAATTGTGCCAGTTAACCACCACAACGGCAGGGCTATTACATTTCACTGATGCCTAAAATGGTTCCAGGACAGCAAACCCGGGTCTCCAGCACGAGAACCCAGCTTTGTAACCGTTAGGCCATTTTAAAAAAAAAAAAAAATGTAAACATTTAATAATATCAACAACAAAAATTATTTTACGGATTGAGTATAATATCAAATTTTTTACTTTTTTTTTCTTCTGTTTTACTTCCACTTTTACACATCGTACTGTTGAAGAGATCTTCTGATTATATCTTTCCATATTTTATCTTGGTGTATTTTGTGTTCTACGTCCTTCTCCTCTTTTTGTGTATTTGTCATTTATGATTTGGCCTTAGAAAGCATTCTATATAAGCGGGGCAAACAATTTGATTTACTTTTTTGTTAAATGTAATCCGGAATCGTTTCGAGCATTTTTTTTTTGTTAACCTTACAATCTCATTCATGCAGCCCTTCTCAGACATCCCATGCCATGGTTACCATTGTTTACTTCTAGTGTGTTGTGTGTGTAGTAAGACTATGTCTGGGACTGGTTGCTTAGAGTAGGAATTGATATGCTTTTCGTGGGATGCTGTAGTATTGGCATTACTTTAAAAAAAAAAAAAAAATTTCACCCGCACTTAAAGACAGCTGAAAGACGGCCTTGCCCCCCCCCTCTCCCCCCCCCCCCCCCCCAACTCCATTTTTTTTTCTTCCAGGGGCACAGAACATGTGCAAGGAAGCTGCATTCCATGGTCCCACCATTGTTTTTTTTTTTTTTTGCTGTCCGTATCAGTCACTTCTACATTCTATTCTTCTATGTGGGTGTTACAGCTGCACTCTCACTGAACACACATAAAACAAACTACAGGATTTTGAATCAAAATGACCCCATACACAAAAATTAAATTAGTGTTTGGATGTGCTAAGGTCATTATCTGTTTTTCAAAAAAAGTCAAGAGCAGACGCCTATTTTTGAAAGACGTGTTCAAGCTGGACATAAATTATGTATATATTTAGGTAGATTCATTGGAAACATTGCTTTACATCGTGTTGCGTTCAGGGGACAATCAGGAATAGAATGGCAATAGAGAGAGAAAACAAAAGATATTTTTTTTTTGGGGGGGGGGGGTGTCGGGGAGGGATGGGGGGGGGGGGGGGGGGGGGGGGGGGGGTGTCGGGGAGGGATGGGGGGGGGGGTGTCGAGGAGGGATGGGGGGGTGTCGGGGAGGGATGGGATGGGGGGGGTTGTAAATTGCTTATAGGTTGAAAGCTGAGAGTCTGCAGACAAAAAAAAAAAAATAAAATAAAGCACAGTTCGTATCTGTAATAACAACAATGATTCTGAAAATTTAATACTGATGTTGTATACAACTTTTCCCAATGCGAGCGTATCTTGTTTATCATACTCGCGATTGTCACTCTCTATATTACAATATTACGCTATCTTCTGGAAAGACGAACGAACGAACGAACACACTTTATTTTCGAAGCGTTACAAATTGGGCACAGAGGCCCTGTGACATTCAGCCCTTCTAGGCACTCATGTTTTAGAGTACCAATGCCTTCGCCAACACACTTACATTTCGAACTGGTGAAAAGTGTGGAGAATGTTAGCTGAAAAATATGAGTTAGGCAAATACCTGCGAAACTCATTTTACACCATCGATTTAAGTCGACCTATAGTTTTAGAAGGGACCCATCGTGTTGTAATTGCTAGTCGCTAGCCTGTGGATCTTAAGTTCGTGGGTTCAGATCTTGACGAAACCGGTCTATTTAGCAAAACTGACTTTGGTCCATAGATCCACCTAGTCTTTAATGCTTAGGTAATTAAGTAATTGGAAAGTCAAACAGGCTGCGTGGTGTCAACCATACTATCCATGGAGTGCCAATTGGCCTATACAATATCGGTCTAGCCCTATCTACCCACCACGCCTGAAAGCGTGGGCAAGTGTCCCTTACAGGACCCGTGTGGGTCCAAGGCCCCATGGTGGGGGAAACAAAAATAGACCCACTGCTCCCCAACAAACATGTCGTAGGAGTCGTCTAGCGCTTCATTTTA